ACTGACTGAATTAAATATTCACCTGTGTTCTGCTGTGGACAGGACATAGGGAAGACAGAAAGGTGACAAAAGAGATGGACCAGAAGATGAGACTCAAAGTTGGGCCAATCCCAAAACTGAAAGGCACCTCCATAATGCCAATCAGTCTGCCTCGGGTCAAGGGAAGAATGCTGAGGACAGCGGCCCAGAAGATAGAGAATTTGGCCCTGTCTGAGCCAGTGAGGTGTGTCCCGAAATAGGACCTGTGAGGCACAGAAGGGAGAGTATTGGGGAGAATAAGACAGGGGGGAAGCAGCCGGGGGAGTCCTGGCTGCAAGAGGTGTCAAAATTCGGAGAAAGAAGACAGGTCCAAGTGTTCAGGGACAGTGGGGGCATCCAGACATAAAGAAAGGGGCCTTAGTGTGTATATGGTGCACCCTGGAATGATGTCGACAGATAAAGTGAGGGAGGGGGTGTTCCTCTGTGGGAGGAACCACTCAGTCGGTCTACTGGCCGAGGGCCTCTCAGCTACTTTAAGGACCATCCAGGCTTTAGAGTGTATTTATCTCGTAGCAAGAGCACCCACTTGGCCTTTCTTAGATGCATCCACGGAATCACAGTACGACACCAAACAAGTCTCGGAACTCCTTTGTTGTGGGATATGGATGGAACAGTCTATTGTACTGCCCATTTCCTGTCATTCATTCACTCATACAGCAATCATTCAGAGGTTAAAGACATTCCAACCCTATCCCTGGGGATTTACCAGATTGGCTGGCTTACAGCCAGACCAGAGTAGACCAGGGGGCCACCTCAGTCAGCGTCCTGACCTTATGGAGGAGCCAGAAGAATGCCATCATCAAGGACTACTGTTCCCCACCAGAACCAGAAGGATCCTTACCAGACCAGATGGGCTTCAGAAAATTTGGAGGGGGTCTCAGGTGTCTCTGCAGTCCCTTCCGTGTTGGCAGTGAGACCAAGGGGCCCTGGAATGTCTCAGGGGGCACCTCCCCTGTAGTTTGCTGCCACAGACGGGAGGGAAGAGATGAGAGGCCAGTCCACCAGGTGTGGCCATCTCGCTGGGGCCTCCAGCTGCTGTAGACGAGTGAGTTCTGACAGTACAGATGCGCCACACTCTATGCCAGATTCATGCCCATTTATTATAGCCAGCGGCTGAGGGGGGCTAGCGCCCAGAAGGGTTCCTCGGCAATGGGAAGCAGTTTGATTTCTCCTTTTAAATCGTGCTTTCAGTTGGGGGGCGCTCAGGGCAGAGCAAGCAGAGTCTTACAGAAGCAGAATCATGCCAGGTTGGGGGGGGGGTACAAGGAAGTTTCACACACACTAGGTGAGCTACAAAACATCCTGAAACTGTAGCAAGTTCGCTGCTACAGTTCAAGCAGGATGTGGGGGTTTGGGGTGCTCTGTTCATGTGCAAGCACTTTGTTCAAGCACAGGTACAAAATGGCATTGAGGCCCAAGATGGAGTCGGGTTGGCTATCACACAACCATGGATGAAGCGTCCCTCCTCAAACCAGCCAGAGACCACCTATGGCATGAGGCCCAAGAGCCAACTGGGAGCCAAGGAAGTGACTGCCCTGTGTGCTGTTCCCACTCGCTTGTCGTTTACTCCTGGGGCAAAGTGAGTCCCAATGCAGGGCTGAGTGGCTGTGTGCTGGCAAGTGCCAGCTCCTTGGTTCTTGGGACCAAGAGGTCACTGTCACAGAAGAGCCTGGGACACCCTCCCTGCTGGGGCACACGCTCCCCATGCATGCCAAATGATCCACCCTCAGGCCTCGGACTCAACCTGGGACCCTGCCTTCAAAGCCCAGGCCAAAGGGCATTTTCTCCAAATCACTTCCTAGTGCTCCTCCTGAGACGGCCACGCTCTGTGTGCTCCTAGGACACATGCCTGCTCCTCTGCAGGAGAGAGGATCGGTCGGGCCGGGAACAGAGGAGAGAGCAGAGCAGGCCTGTGGCTGGAATCTTAGAGATGTCCCGCGATTGCAAGTGACAGACGATTTGGAGGACAAAGTAGGGGGTCCCTGGCCAGCAGCATCCCAGGTGATACTCAAATTCCTGAGAAAGAAGAGCCCTCACTGCAAGCCAGGTCGACTTCCTCTTAAGAAAGGAAAACATGGCCGGGTGTAGTTCCAGCACCCTGGGAGACTGAGGCAGAGGGATCTCAAGTTCAAACAACACTCTGTGTGAAAATAAAAATGGAAAAAGGGCTGGGAATGTAGCTCAGTGAGAAGGCCTGGCTTCAACCTTCAGTGAAAGAAAAGAGGAGAGGAGGGGAGGCAGGGCAGGGCAGGGCAGGGCATATACAGAAAGAAGACCCAGGAAAGCCAGGCAAGCTTCCGCTATTCCCAAGAGTCCATACTGGGCTTGCACCTGGCCAAGCAGGAGGTGAGGGTCTGTGGACATCAGCCTGCATCCTCTCCCCTGCTGATGACACAGCCCCTGGGCTCCCTGAGCTGGTCTCATTCTCCAGGGTGGCCATACCGCATCAGTGCTGGTCATTTACCCTGAGATGCAGGGGCAGGGCTGGGGCAAGGGCCGGGCCCCCTCCTCTCAGGTCTGGCCTCCCCTCCAAATCCTTGAGTCAGTATTGCTAGGATGACATTAAGGCCTGGGCTTTTCTCCTAGATCCAGTGTGTTTAATTAAATTGAAAGCTAGCTTCTACTTTTTAAAAATGTCTTTTTTACTTGGATAGCAAAAGTTTGCCCTTGATGTCTTCAGAGGCAGAACTCCTGGGCCTCCCCGCCTATTCCTGGCCACCCAAAGAGGACCCTTGTCACTCTGTGCTATGTCCATGGCTCCCATCTGCCCCCAGCTCTGCAGATCACCATGCTGGAGGCTCTGCCCGACCCTGTCCTACAGGCCAGTCTTGGAGCCAAAAGCTCATCCTGCCCCAGGTCCCTAAGGACTGTAACCCCCTCCCCAGCCTGCTCCCTGAGACCTGAGATTGTGCCGTCTCTGCCAGACATCACCAGCCACCGGTCAGGACCCACAGATCACCCAACCCCGCCAGCCAGACATGGCCAGGACACACAGCTGTGATCCCCACTTCCGCTCATCCTCCCTGGAGCTGGGGCGACAGACTAGATATGCAAACAGGAAACCAAGGGCTCAGACTCACACCTGCAGCCCCTGCACTCCTTGGAGGAGGACACCACCCCTCCAAGACCCACCAGCCCAGGAAGCCAGCCTGCCCTAAAGCCAGTCTTTCTGGAAACAGGCACTGTCTCCACCAGGAAGCCAAACAACTTCTGAAACAGTCCCAAATGGCCAAGACTTGACTAATAAATAACCAGCAGCTTCCTAAGTGAGTCTCCACTTTCACCTTAGGAGCCACTAGAGAAAGTCAAATACGCTCCCCTGACCAGTCACAGGGAAGCCCCGTCCCCTGCCTCCCAGGCCACAGCCTCCAGCACCTCCCAGAGCCTCCCTCTCCCTATGAACCCATCCCCCCACCCCCTGGATGTTGCAGCCAATTTCAGTGAGGGTCCAGCCGCTCTGCTTAAAAAGCCCTGCTCACCTCATTTCAGGCCTCATCAGTCCTTACATTGTCCCTAGTAAGTGCAGAGATCTGGTTACCATTCAGGCTGAGTTGAGCCACCCCCTACCCTCAGTAATCCTGTGTCATCTTGGGCAAGACTGACCTTTTGTTAAAAGATTAAAGCTTAGGTCTCTAAACCCAGACTACTAAATTTGAATCATGATTCTGCTAGTTATTAATTACGTTAATTTCAGTGGGCAAGTTAACCTTCTTGGGACTTAATTTGTTCATTGGTGAAGTGGAGTTCATGAAAACAGCTCTCAGATTCATCAGGCATTTTGTATCAATTCATCACTTGGCTGGGTCTGTGGTTCCTTGAGTCTGAAATAAGAAACCTGTCCCACTCTTTTGTAGAATAAATTTGTAGGTTCACTGTAGGTCAGTGTGGAAAAAGAATTTTCATGACATGTCAGCAGGAGGCATGACCAGAACTCATTAGGCAGAGATTTAGGAAGTACTCAAGAGTGAAGTTTGGGCACTCAGAGAAAAATGAGATGCATTATGAGAGAGACCTGGGCATCTTTAAGGGGGTGTCATCAAGATGGGTGATCTAAGTTGTGTATTCCGACTGACTGTCAGGTTACCCATTTGACAGGTTGTCATGTGTTTGAAGTTGGGATATGCTGACCACCAATATTGCTGCTTCATTGAGGGTGGAGGAAGCACAATTTACAGGCAAAAAGGACAAGCCTAGAGGCTGAATTTACAGGCAATTTGTCTCTTAAGAATTCTAGGAATTTTTTTTTAAAAACTAACCTTCATGTCTTGAAACTGAAGTACAAAAATAAAGTAAAATAAAATAAAAAGAAACTGAAGTATAATTTCTTGTATTTAATTTCCTTTTCTTGTTTTCGCCCAGTTTTAATTTCTCCTATCCTATGTCAAGTTGATGAAGAAAAAATTCTTAGAACAATAAATAGCATCTATTACTGCTTAAATAAATTTGGTGCATGTGTAAAAAAAAAAAAAGCCCTGCTTTTCCTTGTGTGTGGTCTTAGTTTATTCCCACAAGGGACCCGGTGCAGGGGTCACCACCCTGTCATTCTCATTTCTTCCCCGGGAGAACAGACTATCAGCACACAGGGAGTGGAGACATTAGCCATATGTCCAAGGTCGTTAGGACCCAAATATGAACCTGGGTCTCACTGTTTTTGGTAACAATGCTCAATTTAAGCAAGTAATTTTGTACTGTAGGTTGAGTTAAAGGAGAATCCAAAGCCTTGCTGAGCTGAAGCGCAAATCAGCTGTGCCCTGCCCTGTCCCCTGTGGAGTGTTATTTGCTGCCCTTGTGAAGGATACATCGCTGCCTCCAGACAAACAAATAAGCTCACTTTTCTTTCCTTCATTAGTCCCTGAAGAATTTGCGTGAGCTCAAGGATCTCAGAATGCACCAGCTACAAAAAGAAAACTGCTCCCACATGTAAATTTTTCATTGAAATCACTAAAACCAAAACCACTTACCAACATTAATGAGGCAAACAAATACCTTGGTAGTGAACTGCGATGCTCAAGTTAACACAGAGGAGGAGGAAATATTTCTGTGCTATCTGTGCCTCAGGGAAAGCAGGTGCTGGCGAATCGTCAGGCCATGGTGGAGATTACAGATGCAACCGGACTGGCTGGCCAGGGGCTTGGGACTTGCTTTTTCACTCCATCTAGGGGGCATAAAGACACATAAGTCACTTGGAAGCTTTAAGTGTCATCAGCAGATTATGAAGACAACAGTTTTATGTGTCTGGGTTTTGTCTGTGGCTTAAGAGGGTCCAGGAGAGGTAGGTGGAGGCATCTTCAACAGCAAAATCCCAAGTCAACCTTGACCTGAAAAGTCCCCCAAAGGCCCACATGCTCAGTCAAGGCCCAGACCCTGGTGTTATCCAAAGGTGGCAGAATCTTGGAGAGGTGGAACCAGAGTGTCAGGTTTTAGGTCACTGGGGACGCACCCTTGAAGGGAAAATGGGAACTGACTCCTTCCTCTTCCTCTTTCTCCATCATTTCCTGGCCACGAGCTTCCTCTGCCACACACTTCCACCATGATACTCAGTGCCACCCCGGGCCTAGAGCCACAGTGCCAACCAGCCACAGACTGAAACCTCCAAAGCTGCGAGAGAAAACAAACTGTCTGCTGATTGTCTCAGGTGTCTGTTGTAGTCATGCAAAGCTGACTACACAATGCTGAGTACGAAAGCAAGACATAAAACCCTCCTGAGCAGTACACTGGTCCTAGGCCCGAAATGCCACCTGCACAAATTGTCTACAGGGCCTTCGTAAGGGATATCACACTGAGCATGGGAAAGGCCTGGATCCAGATGAGGATCTGGATTCAGATCCTCCACTAACCACAGTCTGAGTGAGCAGGCTGAGACCTGGAAGTGCTTCTCAGGGATAGGAGGAAATGTTCTTACTTTTGGGTTCCTGATCTAGATTTTTTTTTTTTTTGAGGCAGGGTCTTTCTCAGTAGTTCAAGCTGGCCTTGAACTCACTATGGAACCCAGGCTGGCCTCAAACTCATGATGACTCTCCTGCCTCAGCCTCCTGAGTGCTGGGATTACAGATGTGCACCACGACGGTGGCCACAGCGACTTCAGTGTCTGCACCACCCCTCCTGGCCCGTGCTGAGACAGGGGACCCAAGGAATGGAGCCTGGAACAAGGTGGCAAAAGGATAAACCCCTGGGCTGAGCACTTAGCTGCTGCCCAAATATGCAGTATGGGGAGTAGAAATGATTTTGGTGGCGGGTTGAAGCATATTTTATTGCCAACCTCTGCCATGTCTCCCTTGTTAAAAATGTCCATGTCAAGGGCTGGGGATGTAGCTCAGTGGTGCCACACCTGCCTGTGAAGTGCAATGGGGGGGGGGGGGGTCAATGTCTGGGGAGTTGGTACAGCCTGAGAAAAGGGGTCTCCCAGCTATGGAACAGCCAGGAGGGGCATTCCCAGCAAGGGCTGTGGCTTGGTCAGAAACCCCCAGACCCGGAAACAGACCTGACTTGCCATGGGTTTGTCTTCTCCGCCATGTTCAGGTAAATGATCAGTTTTTTACGCATGAGTTAAGCAAAACTTTGACAGCTCCTCCCAGGGCTTTCAAGGACAATGCTGTCTGTGTCTGCAGATGGCGGCCCTGGGCTCCGGCATTTCCAGACCCAGAGGGAGGGATGAGACTCCTGACCTGAGAGTTGCTGGGTGTTGGGTTTATAAAACGAAGCCGCTGGCTGAGGAGATGGACCCACTCCCTCTTGAAACAATGACCCGAGCCCCACGGAATCACTCCGCACCTTCATGTGCCAGGGTATTCCCTCACCTGGGGAGGCCCCTTCTCCTCAGTTTCTCCCCCAGGGACCTGTCCTGGTTTCTTCACAGGTCTGCGCATCACAAACAAAGGACCACTACCTTTTCCCAGAGACAACAGTGGGGGGAAACTGTCACCCTTCAGAGGTGGTCCCCTGGCTGTCAGCCAGTCATGGGAGCATGCAAAAAGATCCGCAACAGAAACACAGGCCCACAGCCCTGGGGGTCAATAAGCTGCACCACTGTAAGGATTTATCTATTTTGACTGATCAATAGCTCCTAGCAGGCATTTGCAGAAGAATGCTAAGATGGTGAGAGGCACTTCCAACAGCTTTCCATCTACATACACCTATTCTTTAAGAGCAATTCTCCATGCCACCCACAAGAGGGACTCCATTCAAACAGCCAGAAATGGAACTGGCCCCATCACCAGCCAACCATGAATGCAGAGGTGGTTGCTAAGATACAGGATAAGAAGTCAGGAGATGCAATTGCATGGAAGTCGGGAGTTAAAAGGCAAAGTCTCCAAGAAGCCCAAAATATTAAGACCTTTAAGCAAGATTTAAGGAATATTAGTGGTGTGCTAAAATCACAGGAGAATTACACAAGGATTATAAAAAATAATCATTTTAATATTACACATCACAATTCATCCTATGACAAATTTAACAGATAGGATAATTTTAATATAAGAAAATTGCTCATCTTCTGCTTTAGTGCCTGACAGTGTGGGATATAACAACACATGCAAAGCAAGTTTGTGTTTATTTTCTCTTTAAAAATCTAATTAATTCAAATGGCTTCAATTTCCTATTCTGGTTCGTGAGTCACTATCCTTTCCACTAAATGTTTAGGGTTATGGAAATGTAATTACGTGTGAACAGGACTGAACAGTAATGACTAATGCCCTTGTTTTGTTTTAAATGGGTTCATGTAGATGTCACGCCATGCTAGGGGCCACGGCCACTTCGCTGGCAGAGTCAAGATGTCAGCTGCGAGCACGTGGCCTTCAAGGTGACCTTAAACATAATTTCCAAGGCCCATCATTGAACTGGAGCCTTTGATTAGTCCTTGGCTGATCTCTGATCATTTGCAGAATTTTCAGAGCAATTAAGACACCATAGAGAGAGAAAACGACCAGAAACTCAGCTTGACTTAGCCCTGCTTGCCGTATAAAAACAGATTTGCTCTTTTCTCGATTCCTATTGGGAAGTAACTTGTGATAGGAGTCATCTTCTCATATGCTGTTAAATCATGAATACTTTAGGGCCAGGGATTTAGCTCAATGGTGCTGCCACCTCCCTCACAAGTGCAAGGTCTTGAGTTTGATACCCAGTACAAAAAAAAAAAAAAAATCAAGAATATTTTAAAGCTGAAGCTAGATGCTGTATTAGTTTCCTGGAGATGCTGTTACAAATTAACATAGGCTCGCTGGCTTGAAGAGAAAGGTCTTCTCTCCCAGTCCCAGAGGCTGGAAGATCTGCTGAGATCGAGGTGTCTGCGGGGCTGGTTCCTTCTGAGGCTTCCCCTGGCCCTGTAGACTCCCTGTGTCCTCACATGGCCCCCTGGGCATGACTGTGTCCTCTCCTCTTCTTATAAGTGCATCAGTCAGAGGGGGTTAGGGCCCACCCAGTGACCTTACTTTAATTCAATCATCCCTTTACAGGGCCCATTTTCAAATACAGTCACATTGGAGGGGCTGGGTGTGATGGCTCCAACATATGGATATTGGGGGACATAATTCAGCCCATCACACCTGTCACTCAGGAGATGAGCAAAGCATCTTAGGCCTCAGGCACAGCCATGTCCTGAGGCTCCCATCCACCTGCTCAGAGAAAGCCCAGCCAACATTAAGGATCCCCAAGAAGGAAGAGGAAAGGAATCAGGGGGACCCCAACAAGCCTGGCCAAGCCCTGTGTCCTCAGAACCCCATGCTCTCCATGGAAGAGGAGGTGTGAGATTTGGACATGCTCAGCTGCCTACACTCTTGCCTCACTGGAAACCCAAATCGGTCTTGCAACTCAAAGCCAAGCAGTGGCTTCCTCATCCTTCCAGTTACCTGAGTGATATTAGGTCAGAAGAGCCATGGGGCTGTGTGAGCCAGGAAGAAAGTACAAATGCATTTACTGGACGTTCTGAACAGCCACTGTCACCCCACATCCCGCAGTAGCCACATGTCAGGAGGGCTGTGGGTCTCAGGCTTTCTGGGCCAGTGGGGAGCTCAGAACTGAAGGAGGGGGAGGTGTTGATTAGTCCAGGGAGTGAGGACAAGGGAATCTGGTGTGCAAGTGGCTCAGGAAATACTGCTCTGAAGGCTTCACCAGGGCCCAGTTCTCAGCTCTGTTGTGTCAGGCCTCAGGGCTCCTGCCACTGTCAGCCAGCATTCCCATTGCAGGAACAAAGTGCCTAACACCCACAACTTACAGGAAAGAGTGGTTTATCTGGCTCACGGTTTCAGAGGTTTAGTCTGAAACATGCTCAGCTGGCTCCAAGCCGGGAACATCGTGGCAGGAGGACATGGCAGAGGGAAGTTCATGGGGGCCAGGAAGAGAGCAGAGGGACAGCGCCAGAGAGGAAGGGGCCAGGGAGCAGACATAGACCCCACCGGACCTGCTCAGACACACCCAAAAGTCCTTTACTCATCCCCTAGGCAGCTCCCAAGCTAGTCAAGTTGTACTTAAACTCAACAGTCACACTGTCTCGGGAAGAAACAACAGGCACCCAGGACAAACCTTCAGGCTTTCTGTTTGAATGTCACACTCAGAACGGCTGAACCCCAACTTGTAGACAATGCCCCCTCAGGCCCAGGAAGGGCAGGCTTCCTCCCTGTATCAGGCAAGGTGGTGACCTCGGGCTATCCCAAGCAAAGGCACCAGTTTAGACTGTCGCCTGACTCTTCCCACCCACCTGGCACCTCTGCACTGACCTTAGCGGGGACCACAGGGCAGCTGCATCATCCATGGACATGCAGCTCAGATGGACACTCTCAGGGACGTCCCGGGGGGCAGTGGAGGGAAACATACACCCGCAGTGTCCTTCCTCTCAGCCAGGTCCTACTTGCTGCTTGGCATGGGAGGGGCTCCCTAGCTGACATCCTCTAGTCCTAGAGGAGCGCTCCAGCAGTGTAGTCCCACGGGCAGACAGAGGAAATCCTGCTGGATGGAGCTCAGTGTGTTTTTATAGCTCCTGCAGTGGTTGGGAAACCCAATGTCAAACTGAAGGCCTGGGAGCAGCTACTCTCTGTCCCCATCCTGCTGTTTCAGACAAAAATCCTGTCATTTTTGAGAGCTGCTGGTTACCTCAGGTATTCAAGAATGCAGCCACAGGATCCACCAATGGCTCCCAATCTAGGTCTCTGGTCTAACTCTCTCTCCAGAGCTCAGAATTGAGATGTGCACACCAAGCAACGGAAAGCTAGCAGCGCTAGAGCGCCCCCTAGCCGGAGGCGTCAGGAGGAGCTCCTGGAAAAGGGGGTCTCTAGATTGGGACTCAGGAGAGAAGGAGCCAGAATGGGGAAAGAGGATGGAAAGTAGGTGGGGACGCAAACCAAGACAATCTAGATGAAAAATCAATAGGGCTCGATGATGAATTAGTGTGGCAGTGGAGGAGGAGTGTGACGGGAATTCAAAAGTATTCAGATGTACTTTTTTAACCGTTAACTATTTTTGGAATCGGTAATACATATACACGATTCGATATTCAAAGACCAAAAAAAAAAATGAAAACTCAGTATCCTCCCCATGTCTGTCCCCCCGAATGGGCCTCTGCACCTATCAAACCAGAGAGGCCACCTCCATCCCTGGAGAACCCCTGCACCGTCAACTCACATGAGAAACTGAGGCAAGAGACCAGGACACGGTAAAGCTGGGTGGGGAAACAGGCATAGCCTGTTGCTGTAATTACAAAATCCCAGGACACATGCACAGAACCGTTCTCAAACCCCGTGCGGACTTCTCGCGAGAACTCAAGCAGGTTTTTGATAGGATGGCGCAGATCTGAAGCCAGGAGGAGAAGGAAATAGAAACAGGACAGTTGACCTTGAGCTTGGGCCCACTGTGCCCCTCCACAATGGCGTGCTTTCATCCTGTCGAGTGAACTTATGTTATTTTCCTACTTCTACTTGACCCAAACTTGCTCTGCGAGTCTCTTTTTCTACCTGTAATAAATGTAAAACCTTGTTAGCATTTGTGCTTATCTTGACCAATTCTTTGCTAGGGAAAGAAAGAACCTAAAAATCACCTCTAGGAGGCAACTCCAGCACCCCTAAACCCAGTAACAAAACCACCCCATCGGCACACAGGAATGACCACATTGTATTCAAACGGTGTCCTACTCCTGAACAATTAGCGTGCTCTGAAGCTTTTGCTGTAGTAAATATCATTATAGATGTAAATGTGCAAGAAAATCAATGAGATTCATTTCTTCAAGTCCAAAGTATGGGCATACCCAGCTTGGGTTGACAAAAGTTGTTAAACCTCCATCCACAAAGCTTGCTCCAATGTACACCCTCTGGTGGTTAGGCTGGAGTATCAGCTAGCTGGTTTTGGGATCCACCCCAGGAATGGATGGAGCACATGTGTGGGTGTGTCAGGGTGGGTTGTGGAGATGCGGCTTTGGGGCCTGTGTCTGGGTCTGGTCACTCACCCCTTCCACTATGCCACTCTCTGTGCTCTGCTTCCTGGCCACCATGAACTAAGCAGCTTTGCTCCACATCACCCTTCTGCCATGATGTTCCTGCCTTGGAGCCAGCTGACCATGGATTGAGTCCCCTGAAACCATGAGCCAAATTAAATCTTTCCTCCTTTAAATTGTGAGTGTAGGATATTGTTGTCTGAACAACAAGAAATCTGACTAATACACACCACCAAAGCAACTTATGAAAGTTCTTCTTTCCTCACATCCTCCCCATGTAGTGTTCCATCCACTCTCAGATTTCTGAGGGAAGAGTTGTGGCGTTGTCATTAGCTTAAATTATATATATTTTATTTTTATGAGGTTATTTTTTCATATGGATAGAAATTATTTCCACACCAAAAAAAAACTATGCACACAGTATGCTCAGTGTTTGGCTGAGTAGAAAAGACAAAAATAGAATAATTCCTGTTTCTTCCTTAGTCAACTTGGTGGATGAATCTCACTCACTGAATACAGGAGGAGAAAAAGAATTGTTACAGATATGAAAGGTGAAAAGGAAGAGGAAGATTTAACAATCCAGGCAAGAGACTGTGGTGATTGAAACTATTCCAGGGGCAGAGCAGACAAAGAGATGAAGGGTTAGAGTTGTAGGAAGGATTGGTTTTGAGAACTGAGTAGGTTTGGATGTGGACGAGGAAGAATTATACATGTATCTTGGGTTCTGGGTTAGTGAGTTAAGGGAAAGGTTGGAGCATTCCCTGAGAAGAGTGACACAATAGGAAATACAGGGATTGAAGAGATTGGAATTATGCCATGGATCAATAAACAGGGACAGATCTGTAATTACTTTTTTGCCTGGGGCTGAAGATTTAGCTCAGTGGCAGCACACCTGCCTCACAAGCACAAGGTCCTGAGTTCGATCCCCAGTACCAAAAAAAAAAAAAAAACTTTTTTGTCTGGGAAAAGAAAAAGAATTTTAAAAAGAGAGAAGGAGGCAGGGAGAAAATGAGGAAAAAAGGAAGGAAGGGAAAGAAAAGAAAAATTTCAGAAGACAATACTTTTCAAAATATCAGACAAGGAAGGGCGACCGTCCCTGAGAGCCAGATAGCAAAAGGACCCCCACACTATCCCCAGCTCACCATCTCAGAGGATATCCAGCCTGTAGCTCAAGGAGGGAGTGTTGCAGAGGAGGAGCTGAGAGGCTCAGGGCTCAAGTTTTCAGGACATATTACAAGATAGGATGCAAACTACACAGACAGCGCCAAAGATCTGGAGAGGGTTCTCCTCAGGTCTTCAGGTAAGAACAGTCAGTGTAGGCATGAAGAAATTGCCCGAGGCCAAGGAAAGAAACGTCTCAAAGAAAGGATTCAAGAGAACAGCAACCAGGTGCCTCCCAATATGGCCCTTCCAATATGGAACCCCTTCCAGTATGGCCCATCTGCTGTATTGGAGACCCTCATAGTTCACCGTTCTTCAAGCAAAATACCCATAAAGGTCTGATTCAGTGTGGGAAAAGGCTTATCCTTAGACTACTATTCTTGTCCAGTCCTAGTTTAAAAGCAGGACTTACAAGTTTCAAACAGTTTCTTTAAAGATAACTGCATCCAAGAACAAGACTCAAAACACTTAGATGAATATAAAAACACCCACCACCAACAGAAGAAATTCACAATATCTGACATTTGATCAAAAAATACTGGGCATGCCAAGAATCAGCATAATACAATTCACAATGAAAAGTAAAATCAGTTCACGAAAAGTATCCCAGAACTGCCATAGATATTATAATAAGCAGACAAGGATATAAATATAGATACATAGTGACTATAATCCTGTTCAAAAAGCTAGAAAAATGATTCAGCATAATAAAGTATGAACACTGGGGTATTGAAAAGACTCACAGTAAACTTTTAGAGATGAAAACTATAATATCTGATGTGAAAAAATATGCTGGATGAAATTAACAATAGCTTACATATTTAAGTAGAAAAGGGAAATTAATTTGAAGATGTAACAATAGAAATTATTCCAAATGAAGCACCAAAAAAAATTCAAAAAATGAACAAAGCACCATGAGCCACAACTTCAAGTGGCCCCAAAATGCATGGCATTGGAGTCTCCAGATGAACAAGAGTGGAAGGACAGATAGAAAAAATGTTTGAAAAAAACAATGGCCAAATATTTTCCAAATTTAATGAAATCTGTAAGCTCACAAATCCAAGAAATGCAGCAAATGCCAAAGGAACATGGAGAAGAATGCACACAGGCACATTATAAGCAAAATATTCACAACTAGAAAAATCCTAAAAGTACCAGAGGGAAATGATATAAGACACAAAGAAAGACAGTCCAGATGACAGCAAAACATGAAGTCATAAAACAGACATTGAAGCTGTATCTTTAAAGTACCTGCTCAAAAAGGTAGCTTGGGTGTCCGGGCCCAATTCAAACACCTTCCAGAATCAAGGGAAAGCAATTCTGAGTAGCAAGGAGCACCGCAAATCTACTCCTCAGAAAAGTGCACTAACTGGTGGTCGTTATTTTTCAATGTCCTCTGAATGTTAGGCTGTTTTGAAAATTCCCCCATCTAATTAGGTGGTCTTCCTCAAGACTGCCTTTAATCTCAGTCTCCCACAAAGTCTCAAGACTTGGGGAAAATGCAGAAAATGTTTCTGCCAGAATGTAATACACCTGTCCTCTTGTCCAGCTGCCTGTGGCATCTTTGTTCCCAACTAAAACTTCCTGAGCCTGATCTTTACTGTCTGCATTCCTACCAGCATTTTGGTCTTCTAACCTCTAACTAGAATCCCTCATCAGGTTCTGCTTATAACATTCTAGGGCTTCTCTAGCTTGCATCTCCAAACCTTTCCAAATTTCTCCCACAAACCAGTTCAAAGACTACTAAACCACATGGTCAGGTATAGCCTCAGCAATGACTCCACTTCTCTGGTACCAGTTTTCTGTATCAGCTTTCTCATCACTGAAACACAATAACCAACATCCACAGCTTAAGGGAAGAGAAGTTTTATTTGTTCATAGTTTCAGTTCAAGATCAGTTGGCTTCAAGGAACAGACATCGTGGCAAAAAGGGTATGGCAGAACAAAGTTGCATAGTTCATAATGGCCAGGAAAGCAGAGGAACAGTGAGGGGACCAGGCATAGATCCCAAGACCATACTTCCATGATCCACCCAGACACACCTAGAAAGTGCACTCTACCAATCCCTGGAACATATCCTGAAGCCAATCAAGTTGAAACTCCAACCTAACTGCCACAGGGGTAGACATGCCCATGTTCCTCCTGCTATCTCTTTTGGAGGAGGACCTCGAGCTATGGCCTAGACCTGTATGGATGCTTGTTCCCATGAGTAAACTGCCATTCTCCCTAGACAGGGAGTGTCTGGGAGAGTTCTGAGTTCAGAACTACCCATGCAGACCACTCAGACACCAGGTATGACACAGCAGCATCAGGTAGCCTCAGGTTGGCCCAAAGTTACCTAGAATAAATGTTTTGGAGTCCCAGTCAGTGAGGACTGGAGATACTGGACTGATCCACATGGTCTAGATACCAGATTCTCACCTGCAAGAGTCAGGGGCCAGGGATGTAGCTCAGCAGCACGATGCCTGGTGAGTTCGAGGTCCTGAGTTTGATCCCCAGTTCTAAAAGAAAAAGACAATCAGTCAGGATCCATCCTGCCTGGCTGTGCTTCCGGGCACTTCCTGGAAGAGCTTGGTCTGGCTCTGCTCAATAACAAGCACCACCATTTACATGGACCAGACACTGGTGTCTTTCCACAATGTCAGAATTTATTTAATAACAATAAATTCACGAGTTACCTCCATTGCATTGACTTTAATTCACCAAGTACTCTTGGGCTTTTTTGGATTTTGTTTTGCTTTGTTTTTTGAGACAGGGTCTCACTGTGCAGTTCAAGTTAGCCTTGAACTCACTGTGTGTCCCAGGCTGGCCTTGAACTCATGACAATCCTCCTGCCTCAGCCTCTTGAGGGCTGGGATTACAGGTCTGCGCCACCACACCCAGCTGACCAAGTATCTTAGTTTTGCTTGGTAATCATGACCATGGCAATCGTAAGTTTTTATTCTATTCTATTCTTAATTAGTAATATCTATAATACTCAAATCTCACTTCACACAGTGATATACAGGTTACAGAGAAGCTACGAAAGGGTTAGGCTGCCACAGGATTTAAAGAAGCACTGCAAAAAGCAAAGGCAGAGAGCTGATACAAATTCCAGGGTCACCACAGGTGACAAACAGGGAGTCTGGGCCAGGGCGAACCAAGAGGTCCAACGCTGTCAAGGTG